TTTCATGCGGCATTTTATTGCATGTGCAATTTTCTTCTTTTGGTAGATGTGAACGAGTGACTAGATACAAATGTTATGAAGAGCTCTTGCGTGAACATCAGTAACTAATTCACTCTTTCACATCTACCACAAGAAGAAAATCGCACAAATCGCAGGAAAAACGGGCATAGCTGATTAATAACAAAAAACAACAACAAACCAATTAATGTTGATGAGGAATTTTTTTTATTCAACTACAAAATATCCTTTAAGATGGCGGTGCACCAAACCCACGACCTCGACCGAAACCTCCACGCTGAAAGAATATATAAAATATTTAGAAGTGACATTAACCGATTTATTTCTAGAATGACATTGCTGTAGTTATATTAGGGTTCGTACATTCGAAATGAAACTGACTATATGCATAATTTGCACTCGGTAGAATGAAATCGTTTTTCGTTCTAGAAAATGGCAATACGTCCCGTAGAATGTAACACGAACTTTGCGTTTTGAATTGCTGCCTCGAGTTAGCAATATTTTAATTCAGAGCACAACGAAAGTTAAAAATGCAGATAAACAGTTTAACTGACACCGTTGTTTAATTTCGGACTGTTTCGATTTAAAGTTCGGATAACACGTCGCGTACCTAATTTTAGCGGGCAGTGATAACTTTTTGCAGTGATAAAAGTAGAATGTGCAGCGATAAAAGCAGAATGTGCAGTGATAAAATGAGAAATGTGCAGTGATAAAATGAGAAATGTGCAGTGATAAAATGAGAAATGTGCAGTGATAAATAAGTGATTCGTCAGTAATTGTCACCCAAAATGCAGGAAATCAACTAATCAAGTCATAGGGACTCAAAAATACAGAAAATTTTCTCTAGGAGGTCCTACAGACCCCCTACAACAACCCATCATTAAATTACCAATTTCCTGTTAGGACAATTTTATCATATCCCAGCCCAACCCCCCCACTACTTTTCTGCTGTGATGATATATGCAGTGATAAAAAACACAAAAAATAATCGAGGACTATACTTACGAATTCAGGATTGAAATTTGCTCCCGCCCCTCCTTTGGGTTCATCACTCGGTCCACGTCTGTAGGCTTCACGGTCAGCGGTGTCTGGTGCTGGACCAGATGGACGAGGGCCTTCTGTAAATAAAATTATGATTAACACAAAAACTGGTTCTCAGACACGAAAAAATAGTAACGACAAATAGGTATAGTAAAACAAGGAGAATCAAGGTTCTAACATTATTTAGAAAATGCTTTACAGTAAATTTCCAATTAAACGTATCCTTATTTACTAAACTAAAAAAACATAATTTTTCTTTAAACGTGATTGACAGAGCACGCTACCACACAACTAATAAAATTTTAGTGCCATATCTTAACATATTTCTAGACAAGCTATCTTTAAAACAAAGAACGGGGAATGGCTGATAAAATGCAGAATTTACCTACTACAGCATAGACAAATATATGGGGTTACGAATGAGGGGTTTTCTGAATCAATTGGTAGAATACCAAGGATCAATAAATACACGATTCTGTCGAAGACAATATCTACTATATTATTAAACGCTGGTTACAGGCTATGTAATTTATGGTCTGGATTATTTAAGACCTTTTTTCTTCTTTTTACAGCTGATTACCAGGCACTTTTGACTTTTTTCCAACTTTCAATTTCACATATAAATTGTGTGTCAAAAAAATTGCTAGAAACGTTTTTACGATAAATAGTTTAATGTTGATACCTTAAGTTCCTCTTCCGCAATTATCGCAAAAACAATTGCATTTAAAACATCGCCACAAAATGCAATATATTTACATACATGAGATAAAATTATGAATAATTGAGGACAAACCCTTTGGTCTGGCACGGGATCCTTCCGTCCTTGTTTGTCGTCTTAATGTGGATGGAACAATCTCAGGAGGCAGGTTTAGATAATCACGCAGATATGTGATGCCTGAAAACAATAATTTGCTCTGAATTTCACATTTGATCAGTAAAACAATTTTCATTAAATTTTGATGGTAATATCCAGTTAAAAACCAATATCTTGAAGAAAATGTTAAATAAGTACAGTGTTTTTAATAACAATTATAATTTCAAAATGTTTTTAATAATAAATAATAAGTGTGATTCAAAATGTTTTTTCGACAAAGAAATACTCATTTATTAGGTGGAAAAAAGTAGGTCTGCTGCATTTTATGAAAGCCAACATAGTTACATACATTATAATTCAAGTTTATGACAGAGTTGCAAAATGAACTAGGTTATTTGAAATTTGACCATTTTGTGGTAAATAAAAAATGTATCATTGAAAGGAAAATGTTTTTCCAAGGTAAAAATTAATTTGTTAATGCATGTAAACTTCCATTTCATTTCTAAGACTATATGTATAATAGCTAACAATACCTTCATTTGTTAGGTACCAGTAATAATGCTTCCAAGCAAACTGTTCTGTGACATACCCTCGAGATTTTAGAGACTAAATAATGTAAGCTAATGTTAGTTAATATGAATTGTCTATAAATTGCTAATATAAATACAGTAGAGTAAAGCGAGTTAAGCCAGTTCAAGTGAAGTGGAGTAAATTACTATAAAAAACACTGTCAAATTCAAGGGGGATTGGATTTAGTTCTAGTTAACGAGGAGTTTGAGTTAGCGGGGGACTGCTGTAATATAAATGGTCAATATTTCATGAGGCAAATAAATAAGTTTCTTATTATACCATTGGTCAAAGAAAAAGTGAAGAACCAAACAACAAGGTAAAAAACAAATTATTCATAAATCATAAAAGACAATTTCAAATGGATAAACACTCCAAACGTTGCATGTCCAAGTGTACTGCAGGTGATTGAAGTTGTTTAGAGTTATCTCCCTCTGTGGGGGTAACACAGACAACATCAAAATTTTGTCACTCTTGCGTGATTTGCTCTCAACTAATGAAACGCTATGAAGACCAAACTTTGACAAGTGATAGATAATAATGTAAAATCATGCCAGCTAGTTTGGTGCACATCAATAAATATCCAATGAGCAGGTGACTTACCTGCATAGCTTTGATGACTTGTAGATTTGGAACAGTCTCCAGCTCAGGATGTCTTGGTGCATTGAAATCTTTCTTTGCAACCATTACACCCTCTTTGAAGAGGTATTCATAAATATTTGTTCTATTCTTCTTGGGAATCAACATCCTGAACAAAATGAAGCAATATTATTTATTATTGTACAGATGAGAACACATATCTTTTGACTGTAATGATGAATATTAATTATCTTTTGACTGTAATGATGAATGTAATATAGATACAGATAATATACTGTAGGTATAATGCTGGTTTGGGACACACAACAATGTGACAGTAAACAAGGTACTGTATATAAAGTATGTGTATAAAATCTAATTTAATATCTAGGAGTTATAATGATATGAAATTTTATTAGTCACTCTTTGAAGCTTACTATTTAGACCGTGGGGAATCAGAAATTTTGGTTGGAAAAGGCATTGCATTAAAAAGATTGGCAATTTCCAAGAGAAACTCCTTGTACTATTTTCTTTTTCAACCAGAATTTCTAATCATACAAGGAGAATGGAAGCACACATTTTTTCCAATGCAACTAATGTCTTATCCAAGGAAAGGAAAGTCTGAAGGAAATGGAATGCTCACACATATCATTGAGAGTGTGAAGTAGTTTAAATGTCATAAAACTACTAGGCAGTGAACTTAACCAAAGAGATGGCAAAAAGTCTAGCCACGATAAAATTATATAAAATGTACCTTTGACAGACTGTGAACCTAGGTAAATCTCTAAATCAATTTCATCCTCGAAAATTATTCTCAAGTGTTCAAAAACAATAAAAAATTCTGATTTTAAAACTGGTTAAACAGTCAACGTGCCACTAGCAAGTCAAACCAGCTTCATGTGTTATCAGAAAAGCGTTAAAGTCCTGTTATATTAAAATATCGGCAAGGTATCGAGGCGACATTACAGATTGCTAGCATTTTGTCGCCAAATCATAAGCGTTAACCGTGAATATTTTCGTCGGAATAAAAAAAAATTCAACTTTCATTTCGACAACATCCCAAGAAAGCTCTGAGTTCAACATAAAGTTCATATTTTAACGGATGGATAAAATATTAAAGGATTTCTGAACCAAAATATTACCTTAAAATCACTCTTAGCTTTTGGAGACAGGAGAAAAGAAAGAGACATTTAGGGGGACTGGTTTTGATTGGTTTTGATTATTAAAAAATACTAAATTCAATCGTTCAAATGGACATGTTTGCATGTTAAGTACGGTGACTAATTAACTACCAGCCGGCCGAGGTAATTTCTTATTTAGAAAAATGGAAATAACCACAGCTAGAAAGATCATACTAACCTGAATGAACTTTGTAAAATGCTCAAAATATGGCGATTTCTCGGCCCAAAGGTGGTAACTTCCGTGCGATAACAATTGCGAACTTTGCAAGGCTATGTTTTCCGCGTTTGACAACATTTGGCCACTTTGCAGCTTTTCAATTTTTACTATTCTCTTTTACTTTGGAACAGGGAGTATAGTTTACTTTTTTCCAACCCAAGCCCAAGGGGTTATAGTATATCCTATAAAATACACGAATTTAATACTAGGGCTAGAGATTAAGATTTAGGAGGAATAATCACGTGTATTAATTAAGAATTTATCACGGATTTGAGATTTACTGAACCGGGGATTATTTTTAGGAATCCACGGATATAATCCTTAATCTAGTCCTTTAGGGCTCGTAGTTGTCGCTGAACGCTTGATTTTCTTTTTAATTGTGACCGGTCAATTCAAGGAAATAAAGGACGAAGTAAAAATGAAAATCTTCGTTTTTCATTACACTGCAAGCTAGAGTGCGCGTCTTTCATAACACTACAAGCTAGAGTACTAATCACAAACCACGTGCACAAACGTAAACTGGTTATTTGTAACTTGTCATTGAGGTAATAATATAAACAGGTTATTTCAAAATATTGGAATATGATTGGTCGAGACAACACTGAGGCCTTTGTTATTGTGAATAACTTATGTTGCTTAGCGCATTTGAGAACTTTATGTGAAATATTTGATGAAATATGGTCGAATCGATGCAAGAAGATACAAATTTGGTTAGTAAAATCCAATAAATTTGTTATTTTTCTTTCCTGAGAATGTATTTTAAATTGTGTTTGATATTTTAGTCACGGCGAGCACAAAGTTTAACCAAGGACGAAAAAGCTGACGCAAACCAAGCAGACATGACTGCAAATGAAAAGGTATTTATATTTTTTTATATTGATTTTTATAAGATTTTGGTTCTTCGTGTTGTATAAATGCAATTATTCAAGTCTGGTATCGCGTATATAACTTATTTAAATCACTGTTGGGATTAAAATGTTAAACGCAACAATATTCTTGCTTTCTATTAAGAATGATCAAAGGCTATTTGTAATCGCATATTAATAAAGGAGGACACAGTAATATGTTGACGCAACTGTATTTATTCCCTTACTTCTCATGTTTTTTCGTGTGAAAAGACGTTATTTATTCATATTGTATGTGTAGGACAGGAAAAATAATGCACAGGCATAATTCTAGATTATTTGTATTTTATATTCTAGACCAGAAATGACAGTGTTTCACAATTACAGTAGTCCTATGGATTATTGAAACACATATTTCTCCTGTTGGAGGCAATAATTTTTTTTAAATTCCTACTAAGTAAAGTGGCCCTGGCTTTTAAAACTGCATGTTATAGTTGTTTACAATGTGGACATTTGCTCTGAAGTCTGAAGTGAACACCAGACTGCCCTTCATACTATACCAAATCATTTCTCTCTATTGAACTACAACTAGATGTGCAATTTATCCAGGCAGATTATGCGAGTTTGAAAATTTTTTTATCCATATTCCATGATATCCTTGAATTTGGTTCATTTAACAGGCAACAAGAGTGACTTGTGTATGACTCTTTCAGATATACTCCTTAATTGATTACCATATCTTTCTTTACGCCTAATTTAAAAAGCTTTATTAAAGATGGGTGGCCTCTATGTTCAAAAGACTTTTTATTATTGTTATTGACTGCAGTTTTGAGTTAACTGCAATGATTAAACTGTACAATATGTAGTTTTGTAATACCAGTCTCGGGTTCTTAGGACCAAACAAAATATCCCATGTGTGTTTTCAGTAGTTTGTTAGCATGTGATGCTCTCACAATATTTTTTCAACAGGAAGTATAGCATGTTGTACCAGACAGTTTGGTATGATTGCTGAAATCATTTTTACCACACCTTCGAACAAAAGCTTGTGCATTCTTCTATTGGAAATTGTATAATTTTGTATACCTTCCAATTGTATATATATGTATATATACATATGATATTGTATGTTCTGTTACTTCTGTTTGGTTGAAAGTCATGATCTATTACCAAACAAATACATGTGCAATAAGTTTGCACCGGTCAGTATGTAAAAATTCTTAGGATTACCATAAATAAATCAATCGATTTGTTTTTATTTTGTTTAATATTTAAATCAAATAGATATATCTAATATTGTCTGTTCAGTAATAGAACCACAGAAATCATGAGAACATAGTAAGAGTGAAAATTGACTGCTCATCTGCTGCTCATGCCAAATGTTTTTTGTTCTAAATGCAATCTAAACTCAGCTAGGTTTGTATCTATTACTAAACAGCCGGTGGCTTTTTGATGTATGTAATCTGTCATTTTATACTTGTCATTGCTATACACATGTGAAAACATGCAACTTGTAAGAACTTGACAAAAAACAGCTAATTTTTTCAAGATGATCTTCTCATCTAGCTTATAAAATGCTGAACAATGTATTCAGACATTGCAAGGTTAATACAATAGCCTTTGTAGACAAAGATATTACCAGTTTACAGTCTCTTGTGGTTTTCTCCAATGCTTAGTTCTTTTTTTTATTTTTCAATTCACAAAATGATTTCATAATGACCTTTCATATATTGAGTGTGTAGTGAATATATGCCATTTACAACCAAACCCAACCAAGAGTATGCTCTTTTGCAACAACAAATTATACTTGACTGAAAGAAGTGACATTAGAAACTTGTTGTAGGCCTACTTACCGTTAGCAACATTGCGCAGTGCATGAACCCAGATAATATAGCTGTGTTAATTATTTTTCAGAAATCAGATGAAGATGTTTTTGCTAAACCAGACAATGAGAACGAAGTAAATGATGTGCAACAAGGTTTGCTCGGTCGCTTATCTGGAACTGTTTACAACACAACAAAATATGCCGCCGGTACAGCGTATGGTGGAGTAACCTGGGTTGCTGGAGGTGTCTTGTCCACGACTGGCACCGCCATTGGTGCAACTTATAACACTGTTTCATCCTTCTCGCCTGTAACTATATTCAGGAAAGGAAGCAAGAGTAAATCAGATTAACTCATCAAATGGATGAATAAATTACTGGGAAATCAGCAACATTTTCGCGTAAATAATACCATTTGCGATTACCATTTTGAAGAAACTGTTACTGGTCTTCGTATATTTAATAATTTGGAGGGAAGATATTAGGATAATATATTTACACTGTAGTATCACATGGTCTTTTAAATCTATGCCTGTTTTATTGCATGCATAATTTCCTGCTACATATTGCGTCATACAGTATGTATCTCATACATAGTCTTTATCAGTGTTCTTTATACTGTACACTGTACCGTTCCAGAGAGACACCCGTACCTTGCCAGATTTTTTGAAGCATATTGTAAAACCATAATTTTTTTTTCTGGGCCGAGAGATTTTACCTGCAATTTTGTTTAATGAGTGAAAGGCGGTGAAATATTTCTTGGTATTTGGCCCGATTGACGGAAATATATCTATGAATATATAACACACAGGTGTCAGGGCTCATGCGGCCTTTGCATTATTTTATGTAAATCTCTGTGATTGGCTAATTAGCATATACCCCGCACGAAAGACGGGATATTGAAATTTCAAATATTTCGTACTACGCGCCTAAAAACGCTCAGGTTGATGCACGTTGATACAAGCAGGATGGAGCAATGTTGTGCTGCCCACATTGTTCAGAGTTGTTATCAACATTGAACAATATTGCTGAAACTGAATCGGGTGTAACAATATTATTCAATATTGATAACAACTCTGAACAATGTGGGCAGCACAACATTGCTCCATCCTGTTTATATCAACTTGCATCAACCTGAGCGTTTTTACGCGTGTATCACTTGTCAATGTAGCGATAAATAGTTGCGAAATGGTCCGCGGTTACCAGCAATAATCAACCAGATTGTTAGAAAGTATTGAAAATTTTACGAATTAGGCACATGAAAATAAACAGAAGCTCCTGAACCTGCATGGCGTAAACGAATATTCGAATTATTTATGTCGACTAGCATAGAATTTAGAGGGAACGGCTTGCGAAAACGATTACTTATAACATGGATATAAGTTGTGCACTGTTCCCCTCCAAACATCTTTCTAGCAAATGTCGATTGGTCCCTGCATTCAAGCAAGGTTTTAATCTATTGTAACAAGGGTCTTGTTGCTGTTGTTGCCTGATAATCATTAAACACCTCATTCGCATCACCTCTTATGTCAGTTTCACTGATTTCAAAATTTAATTCTTTAATAAAAAGATAGAAGAGCAGCGATATTGGGTTATACCATAAGAGTGATAATACCCACTGCAGCACGAACAAAATTAAAATTAATATTCTCGCCTCGATATGCGACGCTGAAGTCATTTCTACATGTTCCGACAATCCCTTCCGGCTATATAAGCATAAAAATCAGCGGCTGTAAGTATAAACATCTAACTAATTTTTACGTTGCCTATATCGTTGACAAATTATCATCAAGGATAATTAAAATTACTTTTTTAATCAGATACCCACCTGCGCTTGTTTCTTTCACATTCTGACCTCATCTTACTGAAGAAAGAACGGCTAAATGTAATTTTATATAAGTTTATTCTTTGGAATTTCCATGTATTACTATAAAGGTGTGACTCCAATTCCAAACATAAACTACTTTCATGCTACTCGTAGGACCTGAACACTATAATTGTGCATAATGATTCCCCACGAATCTACAACTGGTAACTGGCATAATGCGAAACAGGGAACTAGTATAAAAATTATAAATAGATTTGTATTCGAATTTCGAAATTTATGCTTCGAACGCACTTTTTGAAACTTTGTGTCTGAAAATTGTTTCATGCACATTATCCTCTCACAAAATGGTTTGTAAATGACTTTTTATTGCAAAAATTTTCAATTATATACACAGAAGGAATAAAAATGATAAAAATGTATGTTACACGACGGCGTTATTCTTGCTGTTTCAGTCAATTAGTTACAAGTTAAAAATTTACACGTATAAACGGTTAAGTTGTATATGCAGTGTTTTCATAAATGACAAATGCAACCACATGCAATTAATTATGTAAACATTAAAACAGGAAAAAGACATTTGTCTATAGGCAGCCTGATCAATGAATTGAGAACTAGGATGAATGAGAAGGATCTTAATTGAATCTCAACAGTGCATGGTAATCCAGCAAAGCTTTTTTAAGGAAATAAAGAAAATCTAATACTTTTGCGCAACCCGCAGTCGTCATAAATGTTATTAGAATAAGATAATTGATAGCTACAATCAGGAAATGTTAAACCAGGTTCAATCTGTTTTCGGGGGTGCGCTCCCCTATGAATTAACCACTGTTGTATAAGCGTGCATTAGGTATATCTAATCAAAAATATCCTGTCAAAATTTGCCCACAGGGGCAAAAAATATGGCGTTAAAATATGAATAACTTCTATAACCTCTCTCCACATGCACGACAATGCTTGTGGAAGAAAATTTTCCTCCAAAGTAGAAGGCTGGTCGCGAGTGTGTTTTTATATGAAAAAGGGCCTTAATTCCTTATAATTATTTTTTTATGATTCAAAGCAGTGATAGCGTGGTGGGTCTAAATCATCAGGTTGTGTACGCTTATGTTATTATCTAGCACCTCCACCCCACCCCACCCCCATTCCCCAACAAAATGCCGGAAAATACTTTAAATCTATCTATTAGACCAGTCAATACCGAAATACATGAAGTGATAAAGTCATGAAAATGAATATCAATGATCAAAATATCGAACTTTCCTAGGGAAGAATATAGTTGCGTGCCTAAATAAATTTTACATGAAGTATGGTATAATAACTGATGCGTTTAACTTTTGTATTCATACACAGATTTGCAAAATTTATAAGTAAGTCGCTCCCCATCAACCTTCTGCAGGATATTTTTACTGTAGTAATACCTGAGAGCTCTGCTCAACTTGTCATAAGTCATATTTTTTCTCTTCTTTTGTACTCCCCAGAGTCTAGCAACCGAATGATGATCATTCAACTTGAAGATTCCTTCAGGGTGATTCTTCCATTCAATGTATCTGCTGTTGAATTTCTTACAGCCGAGTAAACTTTGTAAAAATTCCCACAAATACTGGCAATGGAATTTTGAAACTACGCATACCAATAAAGGAAAAATATGTATTAGTCAATTAGATCTATCAATGATACGAGTCATAACCGTAGCAGCAAACTGTAAACTTCACCCGACGTAAGTAGCCATGACGTACAACGGCATTGATCAGGCTGCCGATGATGGTTTGAAATTTGAATAGTTGAATTTAGAACTAAAAAAGCTCAATGTCAAACTGAGTCGTATTAAGTGCAGGTTACCTGTGGCTTCTTCCGACTCTTCAGCATTGTCTGTTATGTTGTCGACCTGCAGACCTAAATTAGAAATATGAACCTCAGAATTGAGGCATAATCGATGACAAACTATCAATTTTCGATTATTATCAGATCATATCACAGGAAAGAGTGTGACAAGTGCTTTTTCAAACAAACGAAAAGTAAATTTACTCACGGTTCACTCGTTTCTGTTTGGTTTTGGAACGCTTTCTTGGGGTTCGAGCTGAACAAATTGGCAAAATTATTGTTGTGGAAACTATTCAATGTTTAGACCTTTCAATGACTTTTCAATAAATTCAAAATGAACAAACCTTTATTTTCTTCTATCTCAGCTTCAATTCCAGAGTCATAATTCAACAAATCCATCTCAAGTGACGATGGATCAGAGTTGGGAATTACTCCAAAATCTAAAACGGTAACTAAAATGTTCACATGCATGCCTTCGCGATATACAACTACAGTTACTGCAGTTAGAAACAAACAAATTTTTCCTAGTGCCCAGAGTTCTATCTACCCTTCCAGACGTGAAAAACATCCTGGGTACTAGGCTTGTACGAACGCAGCAATCGGCGAGATTTGCACTTCAATGCAAATTTTCGGTGCAACGGTCAAAAAGGTCATGCAGCAAAAAAGTCGACGCTTAATGGACAATGGCTATTAATGTCTTGAATTCTAATACTATATTCTTATATACTATTAATTCTAACACTATATTATTGTATTATTCACCAATACGCTATGAAGTACCTGGGAGATGCATAAAATTTATCTCATCTTCTTCACTTATTAAGCGGTCTGTTTAAATGGAAAAACACAAAGTCATTCTATGAATAAAACGAGGAGTTCGGCCAATTTAGGGAGTATTCAAAAACTGAATATTAAGACGTTTTCAGGACCGTAACTAAAAGCTTAATTGGGAAGGGGGGTATATTCATATATTAAAGCTATTTTTAAAGCTGGCAGTCCCTTTATAGTGTGTAAACATAAATATAAATATAGATGCAACCCCTCCCCCAATCTAGCAGTCCAGCTTCCCTGGACATCATCTTCAAGTCACATGCATCAAAACTTCGAAAGGAGACAGTAAGGGGCTGTTTACATGTGCCCGGTTACCCGAGATTCAACGAAGCGTGAGAGGACTTTGAGGTATTGAAATAAGTCTTTATGACACCAAACAAGCACATACTATTGTTGCGGTGATTATACGACTGCCAGGATCATGTTATCTGCTCATTTCAATACCTCAAAATCATCTCACGCTTTGCTGAACCTCGGGTAACCGGACTCATGTAAAGAGCCCCTAAGAAAAAATGACCCAATCTACCATCATAGCTAATATGCCAGAACATGGGTACTTTTCGCATGTTTCTGCTGGGCATGCTGAATTGCGCGCGGAGACAATCAATTTTTCATTGCCTTTTTTAAATCAGTTTGGCAGTTTTAACTATAACCAGAACAGTTTGTGAAATGGAATGAGTTAAATATTTTACCTCCATTAGTTTGAACATCTACAACTTGATCAAACCGAGTATCTACAACAGAATATCAGTGTGATATGGCTTAGATGTCGAAGAACTAAACTGTCGCCTATTCGTTTTAAACTCAATATAGCCTTGTTTTCTATGTCTTACAGATATTCTGATTTTCTTAAGTTATTTTGTCTCGACAACAACTCGCAATTTTGCACTTAAAACTATACCCTTCATACCCTTTCGAAAAAAGCTACTCAAACATCAAATCATCATTAATCAGAAATTGGAATATTCGAATAATAATTTTCGTCTCAACAAAACGACTTAGTAACAAGTTTTCTCTTTAATTTCTATACTCTTCTTTCTAATATTAATGAGAAATATATTAGGGCAAAAATAGAAATATAATCCTCATGAAGTGAGGCCAATGCGTGCCGGAATAGTCAAACAAAGGGTACCTTCAAATGGACCATATTGTGATTCTTGTTCAGTGGCTAAAGAAAGTAAAACGAAATAAGATTTTAAAGAATTTCATCGATATGCTCTCTCTCTGGAGCTACTTGGCACCCTTTATTTTAACGAAACGGTCGTGACCATCCATTTTAAACCTGACACGCTAAAACAGGATTGTTTCAGAATGCGGCAACTTTTGTCAAACGTTTATTTGAAAATTATTCAACGCCACGTTAATTGTACGTTTCTCAAATCCAGGTTTAATTGAAGTAAACTTAATTGATCATAAAGATAGAATATTCTGCTCTTACCTTCAATGTCGCCATATCCTTGGGTATGAAGAACATCTTGAATAGTCTCTAGTGTTACAGTGCTGGCGACAATTGGAGCTGCACTTGGTGTTAACTCATTGTCTGTTGACATTTCTTTTTTCACTGCTTTCAGTATCTTTGCATCAAAATCATCTTCCTATATCAAGGGTAGAATACGGCATTTATTATATTTATTATGTAGTGTTGAGTTTGACGTGGCGTGAATATTGCTATGTGCGTGCCAACATGCATATCAAGTAATGTTCTTTATTACTTGCCAGACACTGTAGTTCTAAAACGCTAGCCTTGTAGTTCTAGAACGTCGTGCACGTTACACTATGGTGAAACTGATGAAAGTCCATACAACAGAAACTACAGTTTTCACACCATTTCTTTGAAATATCGCACAGATATGCATATATTAAAATAACTACAAAGAACCAAAGACTGATAAAGTTACGAATCTCTAATTCCTTATGACTTGCTATATTCTAAAGACATATATATCCCCCTATTTAGCCAACGTTTTATGAACGTCTCCAAAAAGACTTGCTGCATGATAAAATTAGCCATTCAAATCAGTGTCGTTTTCAGCAAATAAAGACATTCTTTGTTTTGTTAGGTGGGGTATTACTCAATATTCATTCTTATATTCCGGAAACCCGATACTTAAAACTGATTATTGTTTCAGCGGCGGCACTTCCTCAATACGAGGAACTGAAGACGGCAGAACAAGGCGGGGTACCTCACAAATGCAAAAACAACTCCTTTCAAACCAGCAGCGGAAAAAAATACAGGAAGATAGTCTATACTGATTCCTGTTAATACGTCGACGCGTATTTAGATTTAAGACCCTGAAATTAATCTAGGGTTTTGTTTTGCAGTTAGTTTCGTGAGGTAGATTTTCACTGTCACACACTGAAAATCATTTTTGCCTTTAATTGTCACCATGGTAATTGCATCCTTTTTCAAAAATAAATCACCGTACACTTGGAGGTGGTCGACAGCTGAAACCAAACAAATATGCCCACGCTATTGATCATTGAGCTTTGTTTGCGACGAGTATGAAAATAATCATTTCACCTTACCTAACTTCGGACTGATATTACATAATATTACATAATATTATTTAGTAAATATATATTAAGATAACTGCAACTCGGCTTACCCGAGCTTTTCTGCTAAAACATTCAACTTGACCTTGAGGGAATTCTTGGAATTCATAACGACATATTGATTCAATTACGCACACTTGTCAGTTTATAATGCGAAAATTTCAGACTCTGGACGTTCTAAACATGCAGTATCGCAGTTGTTAAATGTTATCTTCTGATATTTGCGATCAAGTGGCTTCATACCCAAGTAAAGGCAATCACGGCCCACGAGCTGCATCCATCTCAGGTCACCACAGGAAAAATGTATTTTACATTTTTACAATGCGATTTTTTACATTCACTCAAAATATTTACAATCATGCCGCGAGCGAAATTATTATAAGTGTTATCTATATTATAGATATTTATACAAAGCAAAGTTGAGCTTGTCTGCTACAAATTAATTGCGCGCCAGTTAGATAAGGGAATTAAGGATATTGGTTTTTCATTTGCTGGCAGTTCAGAGCTCATCACGAAGACGACTCAAGTAAACACACAGGAACTGATATTTTCTAAATTCAGATATATCCGATTTCATATCATGCCATGAACTCAGCGTTGATGTGATATTGAGCATCGAATGACGATAAGGAATATCAGCCACGCGCTGGTACTCGTTTAAAGGTGTTAGGACATGTCCTGACGTGCTGTATAGAGCCTAATAAATACCATCAATACTGCCATGTAATTACGACTGGTATATATGATTATGAAACTAATGTTGAAGGAGCTATACTTAGTCCACAATTTGTAAACGATCACACGCAATCGAGATTTTAGACCAAACAATCGTCGCTGAAACAACTGCCGGGAATACGATGTTTTAAAGCAATTGATATCAGGCGCCAGTGGGGTTAAATTAGGGCATTAAGGGTTTGTGAGTACTTCTCTGCGTTTTCTTGTTACAGTTACTAGCTTCACAAAATAACAAGATGAAACACTAAACGAAGCTAATACTATCTTACTAACTTCGCGTTTTGCTATTCGTCGTCTCTGTCAATGGTTGATTTACACTTATACAGCACATACTGATATATCATATACACCCACGCACTAGACACATCACGTTCGATACAACGTTGGCAATACTGTTTGTACTTTGTATCCTGCCATTGTGACAATGTATTTCAAAGTGAAAGAAACAGTGCTTTGATATATATATATAGTTATATTCATAAAAAAAAATATATTGTATCAATTGCATTAGATTTCGCATTAGATGGAACGTTTACTGTACATTCATTTAGCAATATCAACATAAACAAAGCTATTGGCTGATACGCCTGACTTACCTAATCCGAAAATCAATAAAACTACGCATTTTAATATGTATCATGGATTCATCGTCAACAGGTTATAACAATTACCCGAAAAATATTCCTAGCAAAATTTAATTCTGATTTTATTTTTTAAATATTATGCATACAAGGCTAAGAATTAGGATATTTCGATCATAATGATGATCGGATGATTGATCGGATCATTATTATTTTATATCATCTTTCATAATCGCTCGATAGAAAACGCCTGTTGGAAGAAATTTTTGTGCAGAAGATAGCCTCGGTTTTATGTTAGTCGGCGTGACTTGATTCAGCTGAAGGTCACGCGATAAATACCATCAGTATCGCCTGCCGAAGCTATACCGAAGCCCAGACAAAGAGGTTTGTAATGCTAGCGTCCAATGCGGAACGAGTGATAACGTACCGCTACTATAATGTGAATATCTAAATTGATTATACAAAGCAAAACAAAAAATTTCAATTATATAATAATTTTGAAGCCATCTACATGCCGTAGATTTGTTAAACCACTTAATCACAGGGATAATTTAATCTCAACTTCGCCCCCTGCTGTCTCTAATGTAATAGAAATATTTTGTTGACATTTAAAACCCAGTCTGAAAGCTTTGCTGATTTTGTTGAATTTTAACGCAGAAACTAACCATGTGCCTGTATGTAATGCGTTATAATGAACACTGTTCTATATAAATTCAGTCAAAACTGGATCATCGTGTAAATAGATGCGTCTATATGCGGTGTCGACATTTATAAACAAAAAGGGCAATTCCCAAACGTCATATTACAACATAATAGCAACACTGCAACACCAGAACCCCGCAGTTGAAGGTAAATTGAAAAGATCGAACTTGGACTCAGACAAAAATACTCGAAGATGGTGGAGCAACTTTCGATAGGTCATAATATAATTTGGCTTACCTGATAATTCATTTGACTAACATAAGTGAAATAAGATGGCATCAGACCGGCCTGTCCAGACATATCCATTCAAACAAACTTTCAACATTCACCTCACTGAGCTCAGTGCTTTAAAAATGCACAAATTCGATGTTGCAGGCTTTGGAACAGTCGAAGGAACACAGCAAATCAACGCTGAGTGAGGATGAGTAATTTTCGCTTGATCTTTCGTACTAAATCAAAATACTCATACTAACACAATGTCAGTCATTTCGCAGTATGGGTGCAGCAGTTGATTTGTATAAATGGGTTTTTTTCCTAGAAGAACTCCCTTTAAAAAGTACAATATGATTGGCTGAATCCGTAATTGTACCCATATATGGCAAGACTCGCAGCATTGTTAGCCTCGTGATCGAGGTCATCCAATCAGTGTGTGTGACACGAAACCACGCTTGCTTGCGTGGGAGTTGAGGGAAAACACCTTATTGACAGTACAAATCGAAAGTGGGTGGTATGGCGAGATCATGAACAAAACGTGCTATCAATATTGTAATTGTAGAAATTTTAATAATTTATCTTGCAACTTTCTACTATTTTGGTTGTGAAATAAAATCCAAAAATAAAGTAAAACTGTTTAGAACACAATGCCACATTCTTCTGGTGGGGCTGACCGCTGGTGATGCATGTAAAACATGCATCTTCGATTCCGAAACTTTTATTCCGGTCCATATTCACAATTTATCAGACACTATTTCACATAACTCTCCTTCAACGTTATTAAATTGCATCACCTGCGCCGCTAGAACGATATTTGGGGGGAGAAAGGGGGATGTTTATTGTTTTTGCGTGATTTACAACAGAATTCCGCCGGGCAGAACTAAATATATCAATAAAAATCCCCCAAATTATTGTTTATTTACGCCCCTGAATTCGCCCGCAACAAGTCTTTGGCCTCGAGGTACTTACTTCGACCGTACTTGTCCGTAGGTTCGCCAGAAACCGTACTAAACAGTAGAGCTGTTGCCAGAAATTTAACCTGGTAATCATTGTGTCATACACGTGTATGAGAATTCGAGGCGTCTGTCCCATCTTTGGTATTAGCTGACACTCCTCCTCAGTCTTCCATCCATCCACAGTCTTCATTCTTCTAGCATAAATGCAAGATTATTATTTAAGTCACTTCACTCTTCGTAAAATAAATTGCCATTTTCAACCATTTTCTTGATTAAATAAAACCAATTGGAAAGATCTGTTTCCTATTGGTTTTTATCACGTGTTCTGCCACACGCAAAACATGTGCCCACTAGCTGTGACGAAATCTGGTTTATTGACACAGCGACCCAAGCTAATTTTATGCTCGGGATAAAAAACTTTAATAAATGCAACACTGGTTCTTCCCGTGTTCTCTTTTATACTAACTCTCCTAAGGAAAATCCGGCTTAGGTCGAAACCTCGAGAAGTGTTTGATAATTAGGTACTTATTTTCTTAGCAAAGCTTCAGGCACTATATTCGAAGCTCGTCACGGACGTATATAAGCAGACTTCTCAGGCAGCTTTAGCCCGTCAACACGATGCCGGAAGAACTTGAAAACGCAAAAGTATTTCTCGGTTAAAATATTTATCCGCGTCCAACGAAACGTTTTGAAAATGGTTTGATCCCGCAGTACACATTTAGTTTTCCACACGCATGTCACCGGCACTTGAGAGGTCGAATTGAAAACAAAAATCTACCAAACTCAAAGCAAAAAACAAGAATGAGAACTTTGTTTGGACAGACGACAAGCTAATAGCATACAGGTACTATATAGCAAAGCCGAAGTAAAGGTAAACCGCCTAAACACAGGCCATATATTGTTCAGAAGAGTAACCAATTCTGTCTAATCTAATCTAGGGTTTCAATCTCTCCTCACAGCTTCCTTGGTGTTCCATAAAAAAGATCTAACTGATTTTGATCGTGATAAAGCCAATTTTCAAAATAAAATAGACACATAAAGCTTCCAATTCCAGATATTTCTCCATTCTTTTAATACATGCATGCATGCATGTTTATATTCGTGATGCCAAAACGAATGTCCCAGTTTGAGTAGAATAAATAAACGGGGAATTTAGGCTTGAAAGTCTGGCAAATCTTGCTGAAGAAACTAGCATACGAAATGTATTGCTGTCTATTTAGTAATTTTTTTTGTTTTAAGTGAAGTGTTAAGTTATGGGCATCCGTATAAGCACATCATCATTCAGGCAGTTCAGAAGATCATTGATATAAGCCATGCAAGAACAATTATTATAAAATAACATGTATATAACGCGTGTTCTGATTGGTTGAAGCCCGTGTTTGGATCAGGCCATCCAAACACGGAAATTTCGCGGGAATTTAAAAACTAATTTATTATGGTTTGTTATTTTGTAAAACAATTACTTAATGGTTTCCGTGTTTGGATCATCTGATCCAAACACTTGGGAATGTTGCTCGAGTTAAGAAAAGCTCGCAAAGCACTCGCCTTCGGCTCGTGTTTCGCGCGCTTTTCTAACTTCGCAACATTCCCGCGTGTTTGGATCAGACCATCCAAACACGGAAACCATTAAGTAATTGTATAGTATATATTGATACGAAAGGCGTACAAAAGCACGCGGTATATAAGATGTAAACACTCGGGCCAAGTTACTATTATAAGAATGAAGATAAGAATGAATATAGTCTCAAATTCGCCAACTAGTAATAAAACTTTGCATTTCGTTATACACAACGTGTAATATGATCATGAGTAGCCACGATAAACCAGGCGTTTTTTCTACAAAATTCCAGTGTCACAGGAAATTTTGCCACCCGAAAAATTGCCCCACCTCCGAAAATTTGGCCTCCCCGGGACATATTTCCTAGGCAATTTTGCCTCCTCGGGCCATATTTCCTAGGAAATTTGGCCCCCTACTAAAAAACGTAGTTTACTTTGCCATTTCAGAGCCAGAAGACCGTTAAGTGTATAAAATGAATTTTAATCAACAACATTTAGCAGAATCTTTTGTCAACATTTACAGCACGTAATATTTGAAATCACAGCTAGAAGATGTTGCTATTCATTAGCATTCCGACGTTCCAATAAACTTTTTTAAGATGATCCGATAAGAATAAAGAATCCAAGTATTTTGCAGTAGAAAGTAGAATATATTGCAGTTGCTGTTGGATCAAAACAGAATACTGACACAGAAGCTAACTTACTTAATACAGAGGCGATCCGATTTACTGCATGACTGTATCAAATATAGACATGAACTCGAGCCAGTGTGAAAATCACATGGAAGAACATGTCCGCAGTGCTGTTTCACATGTGAGTGTCAATATCATATATAGCTATTGCGGTTTTATCAAACCAAAGTTCACATTGATTGTGAATCCTAATTTTTAGTCGGCGAAATTGCTTGCAAGAAGCGAAATGTTTTTTACGTAAATTCATGATCGTTGATCGCGCGGTTCGCCCCCGCGTTTTAATCCAACAGCAACGCCAGTTTGGCTCTACTCATTGCATCTTTGTAAATACTTATATACTGGTTTCTTAATCGTTATTATTAGCGTGTCTTTTATCGAAACTTTGGATTGATAATCAATTGCAAGCAAATTATTTGCTCACTGAAGGAGTTTAAAACCTCTAGCGCGTGGACGATCAATTTGAATGCGTATCATTTCAATTCAAAGTTTTTCCAGTTGTTGAAGCCAGTGAAGGTGAGTCATTACCTTTCTTGTTAAATATGAATTTCGGGTGTGTAAGACCTTAGATTTTACTTAGGAGAAGATGAATTTAGTTTCGCTATAGCCATGCAGTCTCTTGATACAATGGGGAAAATATTGCAGAAAGGCTTATTGCAATTGAATACTTCGATTGTTTACAATATAACCAAGGAGCTGTGTTCTTCTAATAATATTTTTTCCCTATGGAATATAATAAGTAACAAAGAAACCTAAACCAATATAGCGCTTTCATTCAGGAGAGCATAGCTAGCATATTGGCTATCATAATTACGTATATATCATATAGAGGCGTGTTTGCTCTTAAGGGGCAATTTTGTTATATCACATTCGATGAGCCCTCGGAAGCTATTTACAATACTCGCCTCTAGAAACTGCAAAGTGTCAGAGTGCAAATGCATAATATGATTTCAGTAGTCTCAGGTTTCTTACATGCATTTTGCGTGTATTATATACTAGCTACGTTCAAAACCATCCAAAGGTAGGCTAGGTATATTATTATGTAATTTAGGTATATTACACCCCTAAAAATCACCTAAAAAATGTACAATGTTGCGTTGCACCCTGTGTGAATAGTATTGTTAACAATATGTTAAACCACAATACTGTTCTTGGGGTGCAGCACAACATTGGTCATTCGTGAAGCATGCGACAACCTGATAAATTTTTGGTTGGCTGAGTATACAAGATAAACTTTAGTGGTACACTTAGCAGATGAATAATTGCCTTGTGGGGTGTTGAATTGCTTTTTTATCTTCTTGATATTATTATAAATATCACAATTTGTTTATTCTAAAATGAACGGTCAAACCAAGAATATCTGGAGATGTGTGTCTTTAGGTGACAACTTTAAGCTGCATGGTTATCGATGACCACAACACGTCTGTATTGAATAGCTAAACGTCGTCAGATCTTGTAAAGCAAAACCGGCGTAGCTCTTTCCAATTGTGGTGTTATGGTGCTTTGAAAAATTTTAAATGGTGCTTATCAGAAGTTGAACAGCTTGAAGATACGTTGAAATGTGCAAAAAATCTGAAATACACGTACTTCTTTAGAAACGAAAATAGCGAATAGACAATTGCATAACCTTTCTTGCGAAAATATTATAGTGATGGAAAACAAATGTTTTGGATAAAAATTCCAGAACTATTTCAAAATAGATGTATCTGAGGCACGCCTATTGTTTAGTAACTTCGCGGGGTTTTCACTTCTGGGATATGAGTGATAATTAATTGACTTTTTACAGTCCATAGGGTGATCCTTGTGCTTTAGTGCCAGAATATTTATGCTACAAAACTGAGCGGTGAGAATGTCTTCATTTTGGGATTTCTCGATATGATAGTCCCGATTGTCTATAGACTATCATACACTGCATGGGGTTTGATTTCAATTTTCAAATTTCTAATCTTCAGCAGCAAGTTTCGCTCATATTTTTATCTTTATGTTAACGTAATTGCGATATAGGTTAAACAATTGTATAACAAATATTTATATAATATAGATTCAGGTGACTGCGCAAACATTAATCTGAAGCCCCGTTT